TGAGCTTTTGCAACAAGAAATAGGAAACCTGGTATTTTTGTATGGAAAGACTCGAAACTATATGCGTTTAAAATTTTTAGTTAATCCCTGTAGGATTAAACTAACCGCTTTCGAACAACCATTCTTGGGTCCAGTAACTCAAAGCAGGATTAACACCAAACTGCTATTTTGGCTTGTGTACTTCTGCATGTACATGTTTGTTTCAAAACTTCAGAAACTACTTCTATTGATCCAGGCAAGATTTCTGAAAAAAGTAAATTCTCCATATTTATAAACAAGCTGTTGGAAAGATTGCTTTGAAGATTGTGGGATGAAGCTATCCGAAATGCAACATGACGTGGTTTAGTGTTGCACAGGGAGGCCTAGCCAGATTTCTGTTATTTTTGAAGCACACCTAATCGATGTTTGCCCTAATTCGTTCTTTATCACTTTACATTGCAATGTTATTAGATATGCGCAGTAAAAGTGCGCAAAGCAAAACTGATGAATCACCTTAAGTGATTTGTACAATGCCGTCCTCAAGTGTATGCAAATTATTTACTGAAACCTAATTTCTTTTCAGGGTACCAAATGGAAGGCGCGAAATACTGAAAGTTGTGGAGAATTGTGGTTAGGATTTCTTCGTTATTACACAGAGGAGTTTGATTATCGCCGTAACGTTGTATGTGTTCGTTATCTCAAACCGCTGACGAAATTTGAAAAACTCTGGAATGGAAGACAAATTTGTATAGAAGGTACATGTATACCTATAACTATTCATGTCTTATCTAAAATATTTTCCAAGCAATTTAAAATCTTATTGCTCAGGTAAGCTTCAAATAGTAAATTAAGAGGATGCTAAAAATACCATGTTCCTTTTTTCGCCACCAAAAACAAAATATGTTTAATACATTATATTGTTTGAGAATTTTCTGATGATGAAGTTAATATGTGTTGAAGTGTTTGAAATTCAGTTGGCAACAGAACAGAATATTGTTGTATACTCATCAGTAATAGCATGCTATTCCGGGCGATTAGTGATTAAATGTATACCCGAAAGCCGAGAGAGGGGCATTTCATCACTAATCGACCGTAATGCAAGACAATAAAACGGTTTCATTCGATTAAATAAGTTCAGATGAAAAGACGCTTTTCTTTTTTATACTAATGACTTTTGGGATGTTCGTTAATGAGGTTACGTTTAATTTTCAAGTCTGTTAATGTTAAATATTTAATTGAACATCAATACTGTACAGGGTGAGTAAAAAAAAACTGACACCTTTGTTATAATTTGAATATCAAAGGTATCAGTTTTTTTACTCACCCTATATATGAGGCTATGCATAAAGATGAGGGACGATTAGTTTCTAATCGTCCCTCGTGTTTTAGCAAAGAAGTAAATTAGTCGTTAATCGTCCCTCGCGAAACAAATGATTTCGAGGTAGCTATTGATATTACTTATAATAAAAGCATGACATGAGAGAAATTAGTGATTAAATGCCCGAAGGCGAGGGAGGTTTGTGGAATCCTCCTCAAATGCCCGAGCCTTCTGGGCATTTAATCAATAATTTTCCTCCTGTCATGCTATTAGTGTGTAATACAGTAGTATGATCACCGAGGTACCGTAATTAGTTTCTATTGTTTAAAACTCATACACATAAGAATCCAAACAAGTATGTAATAATTAACATTATTATATGGCTTTTCAAAATTCTCTATTCTGATTGGTTGACAAGCGGTCCGTAAAAACCCATATGCGGACCGTGGTCAGTATTTTCCGTATCTGGACAGGTGTCCCGGATGTCGTTTATCTAGCCGGAAATTTTTGCTTTGCAAACAGAAAAAATTTTTGATTTTTAATTTTCTAATTTTGTGTCATTAAAATGTACAGATAAAAAGTTCAAACAACCAAATTGTTTTTGATTGAACATGCATGCCTACTGTATATTGTTACCCAGTGAAACTGACGATAGCCGATTTAATTCGCGCGAAAAGCACATGCTCACAGACTCAGTTCAGCCATATAATAAACCGATGATTGACCTCGCTTTTTCTGTCTGTACTGTGAAATATCAGGAAAAAAACCCCTGAAAAACTGAAAAACCTCGGTCAATAAGCCGTTAGTACATAAAAAGTATCATTATGGTTGTATATTATCGTATGAGAGAAATATCGTATGCGTGCATACAAATGCGGGCAATTTACTAAATCGCCTGGTCGAGCGGGCGAATTAGTAAATCGCCACATTACAAGACTTGTATAACACAATGATTGTTTGGACTGCAACTACCTGAAAAAGTAACAATACGTTCGTCGAAATTTTCCTTGTATTTTTTAAGCATAGTTGCAATCCAACAAACCGATTTGTTATTATTGGCAGTACCTAAGTTGTGTTTATACCACAAGCCTTGGCCTAGCGCCTTTGCCTAGCCTTGACCTGGCCCTTGGCCAGACCAAGGTAAATGTGGCGCGTTTACACCATTACACTGGCATTTCGAGACTGCCTCACTTTGGCCCAGAGTTTTTTAATTGATTTTGTGTGTTTTTATCATTTATGTGTTGTGCTGGTTGGCCGCTAATCTCTCACTGCGGGCACACGTTGCCATGGAAGTAAGGCCAGGGCCGAAAGTGTTTACATTTCCACGGGCCTAGGCCACCGGTTGTAGTGAGCCCAGATTTCCTGGCCTAGGTCAGGCCAAGGTCTGTTTACACTGTCAGAATGTAGGCCAAGGCTAGTAGTGTAAACACGACTCTAGTAGCTACACTGGTGGTGCCAACAAAATATATTGTATATCCATTTGCACGCATTTACTACCAGCGAGATTTGTATTTATTAAAACTCAATAGTCAACTCTTTACTAGCCTGCGTGGCAGGCCCTCAATTTTATGGCGGGCCTGATTTGCAGCGGCCGCCAAAATCCTGCCCGCTGCAAATCAGGCCCCCCATAAAATTGAGGGCCTGCCACGCAGGCTAACTCTTTACTTTACTTGTACTTTCTTGTTCGTATTATGCGTGCCCTTGTATTTTTTATCTGGTTTTTTTTTTCACTCTTACTGTCTGATGTCCTTATATGGTTAATTTTTAGTTTAATTATGTATATTGTGCCTTCAGCGGCGTGATCACTACAAATACGGCATTGAATAAATTACTTATGAATTGAAATAAAAATACAGAATAAGGACGAACGAAAGGAATAAAATGGATAAGACTAGAGCCACACAGAAATTAAGATTTGCAAAAGTCTTGTGGCTTAAGTACCTTATCGTCATCGTTATTTATTCATGAATCTTACAATCTATACTTGCAGATCCATTTGTCCTAACCCACAATCTTGGAGCTGCTCTCACTCTAAACATGGTCAGATTTATTCGTTCAACGTTTGAAAGAGCTCGAGAGCGTTTTGGGACTGCACGTCCTGATATACCAGCTAATGGTCAGGACAGGCAGAGGTTTTTCTTCGACACGTATTTTCTTACCAATGGTTTTATGCCTCCAACTGACCGAAATTGCAATGTGTGTGGGAAGATTGGTCACTGGGCTAAAGAGTGTCCTTATAACAAGTCTAGACGCAAGAAAGGGGAGCAGAATAAAGCTGAAAAAGGCCAGCAGAATAAAGCTGAAAAAGACCAGCAAAGCAAAACTGACAAAGGTCGGCAAAGTAAAGATGAGAAAATCCCGCCTGATAAAATCCCACCTGAGAAAATCCCGCCTGAGAAAATCCCGCAAAATATCGGCGAACAAGGCAAACAAAACAGCGTTGAGAAAGGCTCGCAAAATCAAGATAAAAATATTCCAATAAATTGGGCCGCGCGAATCCAAGCAAACAGCACTGAAAAAGCTCAGGAAAGGCAGCAAGAAGAAATGACGAAAAGCAATTTAGAAGGTAATAATGACGTAATATAGACACCACACAAAACATTAATAGCTTTAACTCGAGACTGACACTTTCAAGTTGCTATAGTTCAGTCGTCCCGTTCTCTTGGGGAGAGCATCTGTGATTTGCTTTAGCATTTCTTGTGCATGTCACGAGGCTTTTCTACGGATTTGTAAAAAGCCATGTTATGGATAGTCCTTAACTAGTCTAACTTGTAAAATGTCATGTAAACAAAATGTTCACGTCGGCATGCAAAGTTACAGTAACTAAAAAATAACTAGAAATTGCAAAAATGAGCTAACAGCTTCGTTTTACTTTTGACATACAGTACAATATATTTTTATTAATAGATTAGGAAGTGCTGTTGGCATTGTATACAGCACGTACGAGTACCCGTGCCCACCACGTGGTTACAACTCCATGGGATTGGTTCTCTCAATAGCACGCTCCCGTTCTTATGTCTTATTCGCTTTTCGGTGGCCTGGTGACTATAATTTCATACTGTTTAATTTTAATATGCAAAAGTTAACAACCAATGAAATGTTTTAATTCGTCACGTTTTATTTAATTAGACTTACTTAAGGTGGCTCCTTACAGTTTTTGAAATGTGACAAAATTGTGATTTAGATTCAATTTTTTGAAGAGAGGTTTCTTGTTAGAAGACAAAAATTGTACCACATATATTGAATAATTTTCTAAGAGTTGAAAAGTGCTCACAAAAATTGACGTCATAACCGTTGCTATGGTAACAATGACGTTTCAATATGGCGGACATTTTACCTTTTAACATATTTTACTCGAAAAAAAGGCCGGTTCCCCCATTTTTTATTTCATGAAACGTTTTCATTTAGAAAAATGAATGATGTGAACAAGTTTTAAAAACTTCTGTAGATCCAAAAAATATTTATCACGAAAAATCACGTTTTTTGATTTTTTAATAATTCTGATCTACATAATTTTTTTAAACTTGTGTTCACATCATTCATTTTTCTAAATGAAAACGTTTTACGGAATAAAAAATAGGGGTAACCGGCCTTTTTTTTAGTAAAATGTGTTAAAAGGTAAAATGTCCGCCATATTGAAACGTCATTGTTACCATACTACCTTAAAAAATAAGCAGAAACTCGACGTTTCGAGCGAAGGCCCTTCGCCCTAGTAGGGAGTTTACGATGTACGACGCGGTCAGCTCGACGACGTCGAGTCAAATTATGCTTGAAATAAGCCACAGGAATTTAACTATACTGCTTTAATTGTCTAAAGCATGTTTTAATAATCTTACAAATGTTTAAATTGGCCTAAACTACTCCGATGTTTAGCTGATGTTGCCATTCCGCCAACGTTATAAAACAGCTCCCATGTCGCAACGAGCTTTGACATCGCTAGGAAGCCGTGAAAATTACTCGTTTCACGGTGTCCCAAGAATGGCAACGCTGTTGACAAAACATTTGAATCTACAAATTATTCATCCCTTTTGTCTCGCATGACGTGTTTCTTTGTCTTGCAAGCGCGTCGTCGAGCTGGCCGCGTCGTGAATCGTAAACTCTCTACTAACTCTTGACGAAGGGCCTTCGCTCGAAACGTCGAGTTTCTGCTTATTTTTTAAGGTAGTAATATAACCACTCAGCACAGCATTTTCACATTGGTACTACCCACACTGGTACAGACAATTGTTACCATAGCAACGGTAATGACGTCATTTTTGTCAGCAATTTTCAACTCTTAGAAGATTGCTCAATATATGTGGTACAATTTTTGTCTTCCTGCAAGAAACCTCTCTTAAAAAAATTAAATCTAAATCACGATTTTGTCATATTTCAAAAACTGTATTGAGCCACCTTAAGGACTGCCCAGTCAGACGTCTTTCCACCAATCCGTGGAAAACCCACGAGACCTGCACAGGGTAGATGTGGACAGTGTAACCCCCAAGAGAACGTTTGGGAACACGCTAACTCGAACCATTTTCTCGTTCGCACTCAAGCAAATTCGGGTAGGAAGTGTCTATTCATTTCACTCTATTAATACAAAGCCCATTCGAATGGCGTTCGTGACCCAACGCTTTGACACTTCAGTCTAGTGTGTTCATCAGGGGTGAAGTCGCAACGTGGCTTCTTTTGTACTCCACAGATGACATGGCAGATAATCCAACGAAACCAAATTTTAATTTTCATGTTTAGGACTAAGTAGTAAGTAGTTACCTCACCAGCGGTGCACCGATATGTA